GTACCCTGGACAGAATGGTAGACCCAGAAACTTGAAGCCCTCCCTTTATTCCTGTCTTTAATACAAAGTTGTCTTTTTGGGGCACAGAACAACCACCTAAGTTGCTAGCATAGCTGCCGATCTTTAGACTCCCGTGTGAGGATTCTTCTCATTGGTTTAACGTGAAGTTCTCCACGTCTCTAGTCTAGTGATCTCTGGAACTGGCTGAAACCAGTACCCAAACGAATTAAGTCCAACTGGGGACCACTTCCTAGAGAAGTTGGATGTAAACACTACATCTGTTGGAATGTCACTTAGACCATGATAAATTTCTATCTCTACTGTCTTCTGTCAGTGTCCTCCACTTACAACTTTAACTATAGAACTGGACAATTTCGCCTAGTAAAAATTTTCCTAATGTTTTTCCATGGGTTAAAAATGGTGGGTTTGGGCGCCTGGGTGGTGTAAGGACCTATTTATCCAGAGGCTTCCATTAAGGTTAAACAATAACTTTGTTGTGTAACCCTTGAAGTGTCCCTGCTTCCCTTCCCCCCAGGGGACTGACTTAAAAACAAGTCCCAGAAACCAGCCCCAGGTAACAAAGCCTAGATACAAGGGTGGGTCAGGCCAGGTGGAGCCATTTGATCAGTGGGGGGTTGCATACGGTCTCCTAGCTACCAAGGAGTATGGGCCCCGCCCTTTGGATGCCAATTCTAATGAGGGTGATAGGCTAGGTCAAATGTCTACTATAGGGTAAATTGTAATTCAATTGGTCACTTATGTGTGACCTAACATAATGTGGAGTTTCCTGTGTGTATTACAATCTCATTGGCCACCTGTGCGTGGCCAGGCCCAACCACATGGCCTTTGCCCTTAAAAGCTGGTCTGTGAAACAGAGAAAGGTCGCTCTCTCTGTAAAAGGCGTGGCCCTGGCTGGTCAGTCTGATTCTTGATGCCTGGTGCGAAATAAAGCTTTGCTTGACCTTCGATTTCTAGTGGTCTCGCTCCTTTAATCACAGACCCATTATTGGGGGACCTAACAGGTGGCTCAGTGGGTTAAAGCCTCTGCCTTGGGCTCGAGTCATGATCCCGAGATCCCAGGATGGAGCACCACATCAGGTTTTCTGCCTGGCAGGAAGCCTGCCTCCCCCGCCAGCCTGTCTCTCTGCCTACTTGTAATCTCTGTCAAATAAATAAAATCTTAAAAAAAAAAAAGATGGTGGGTTCTTCAGAGCAAGGCAAGGTTTGGTATCTCAGTCCACAGGTCAGCACCCTGTTTACAGTCTAGAATGCAATGGGAAAGCTGGGGAATGCAAGAATCCCTCCTACCAGGACTTTAAGGGCAAGGTGATGATCATGGCAATTTCATTCAAGGGATGTCTGGGGTTTCTTTGACACCAGGAACCTCTGACAAACATGGAACTGTCTACACATGAGCTATTGCAGAAATTTCTCTGAAATTTACCTCAAGTTGTCTAGCTTAGGCAAACAGCAAACATTGAAAGACAATGAGAACTATAATTGTAACAACTATAATTGTCAATAACATCTGCAAAGGTAGGTTACTGAAACAAATTTTTCTCTCTATAATCACTCTCATTTCCAGAAATAGCCAAATTAAGACTGTCTGTATGTAGAACAAGTCACAATCTTAGACTTACTTTTTCCTTTTGCCTTTGTTTCCTACATCAGTGTCACCTAGGCCAAGTCACCAAACTACGGTTTGCTTATTTATTTTTTAAGACTTTTATTTATTTGACAGAGAGCAAGTGCACACAAACAGGGAGGAACAGGTGAGGGAGAGTGAGAAGCAGGCTCCCTGTTTAGTAGGGAGGCTGATGCAGGGTCCGATCCCAGAATCCAGGGATCATGACCTGACTGGAAGGCAGACGCTTAACCAGCTGAGTCACCCAGACATCCTGGAACTGGGGTTTAATATCTAATCTACTGCAGTGTCAGCCTCCCCCAGAAAGGTTTTAACTGAGTCAGGAAATCTTCCTGTCATCACCAATGAGGTAATCTGTTACCTAGGCCTTCTCCACCCCCAAAAGCAAATGAGGTCATCTGCATGATAAGACCCAGTACCCTTTCCTCCAGGTGATAGTAAGCTTGCCTGGAATCCTTTTCTTTTGCTATTAACTCCTTGCTCCACCCTCCTTCTTATAAAACCCTTCTATTCTGTACAACTCTTGGGAGCCCCTCTCCACTTACCAAACGGGGCGCTGCCCGATTCATGAACCGTTTAATAAACCCAGTTAGATCTTCAAATCTGCTCAGCTGAATTTTGTTTTTTGGCTGGGCCCTCACTCTCATCTGAGATGCTTTGAGCCCAGTTATCTAAAAATCTTCTTAACTGTCCTCTGAACTCAAAAACAGAGTTTATGGTTTGTTCCAACTATTAACCTTTGTTTTGGTTTTGTTACCATAAAAAAATGCCTCTTATTAAATAGGTGATTGATTGCTCATGTTATGCAGAACACCCCCTGCAATACCACCTCCTGAAATGAGACACAACTGTTTAACATATTCTCAGGATTAACAGAGTGGTTCAAAGACATGAAACTTCTTGGGAAGCTTCAAAGACGGGAATGAAGGATAGCAGAACACGCCAACCCAAAGTATGGCTCTTTGGCATCAAGATTATTCTGAGGAACAGCAGACACAGGGGAACCTCCGAAACAGAGAAGTTAACCTTTTGAGTGGAAAATTTACATTTCTAAAGGAAATCTCCATTTGTAATGGTGCCCCCCCCCCCCCCACGCGCTTTCCAGATAGAAGAGGGCTCTACATTGAAGAGAATCATATCTATGGAGAAAGCACCAAGTTAATTCTGCCTAACCAACCTTATCCTGTTTACTGTGCTTTTTCCTGGTTACTTCCCCACAACTTCTCCCCTTCTCCCATGCCCAGCTTCAGTCCTGAGCTGGTATTTAAACTGGTGACCAAGGCCACCCAGGGAATTACTCACTTTTCCCTAGGTATCTTCCATGTATACCTGAGGTAAACTTGTTCAACTTCATTAAAAAAAAAAAAAAAAATTTTTTTTTTAAAGAAAGCAATGGGCCTCCCAATTCCTATACCAGAGATCTGGCACCGCATTTTAGGGACTAAAAAGTTCTCTTTGGGAGATGAAAAGAACTGAATAGGGACTGCAGTCAGTAATGCTGTGATGGTTGGGATGCCTGGGTGGCTCTGTTGGTTAAGCCGCTGACTTCAGCTCAGGTCATGATCCCAGGGTCCTGGGATCGAGTCCCACATCGGGCTCCTTGCTCAGTGGGGAGCCTGCTTCTTTCTCTGCCTCTGCCTGCTTGTGTTCTCCCATGTGCGTGCTCGCTCGCTCTCTCTCTCTCTGACAAATAAATGAATAAATAAAATCTTTAAAAAAAAATAATAATGCTGTGATGGCAATGTGCAGTAACAGAGGGTAGCTACCCTTATAGTGATGAGCACTGAGTAATGTACAGAACTGTTGAATTGTATGTAGTATACAAAGAACTACCATAACATTGTTAGGTCAGTTTAAAAAGCTCTTTTTTTAAAAATTAAGGTGCATTTATTTTTTTATAGCACTCATCACCATTTGACATACTTTGTATTTTCTTTCTTTAATGGTCTGTCTCTCCCCTCTATGGTGTTAGCTCAATGAGGGCAGAGATTTTAGGTAAAGAATTTTACCTTTTAGGTAGAGCACCTTCAACAGGTCTTCTGGGTTTGTTTTCTCTTTCCTTTCTTCCTTTCCTCTCTTCTTCCCACAAATATTTTAAGGCACTTACTACGTAGCTGTTACTGTCCTAAGTACTGGAGATCCCAGAGAGAATAAAACATAAAAATCTCTGTCCTCAGGGCACGTGGGTGGCACAATAGGTTAAGTGATCTCAAGGTGCCCAGACCATGACATCGAGCCCCTGTAGAGTTCTGAGATAGCAGAGAGTCCGCTTAGGACTCCCTCTCCCTCTGCCCCTCCCCCCACATGTGCACACTCTCTCAAATAAATCAATCTTGAAAAAACAAATCCCTGCCCTCTTGGAGCTCACACCCTGGTGTGAGAGACAAAAACAGTCTGTCAAATAGTGGTTAAGTGCTATAGAAAAAATAAATGTACCTGAATAAATGATTATTAAGGGAAAGAAAACAATTTGAAGAAACTACATACTATATGATCCTAATTATATGGCATTCTGGATAAGGCAAAACTATGGACACAGTCAAAGGATCAGTCATTGCCCACAGTTCAGAGGGAAGGTGGGGAGGGTGAACAGAGAGGGCAGGGGGGTTTTGAGGACAATGGAAACATTCTGTATGATACTCTGATAGATACCAGGCATTATACATTAGCCAAAACCCATAGAAAGCACAATCCAAAGAGTTAACCCCAATGTAACCTATGGTTAGGGATACTGTTATCAGGGTGCCTGGGTGGCTCAGTGGGTTAAGCCTCTGCCTTCTGCTCAGGTCATGATTTTAGGGTCCTGGGATCAAGCTCCACATTGTGCTCTCTGCTCAGTGGGGAGCCTACTTCCCCCTCTCTCTGCCTGCCTCTCTGCCTACTTGTAATCTCTGTCAAATAAATAAATAAAATCTTACAAAAGGAGTACTATTAGCAATAGTAGTTCATCAATTATTACACTTTAATGCAAAATGTTAATGTGGGAAACAAAGGCAGAAGGAATGTAGATAAAATTAAATCTTTTAACCAGATTGTTAACATTCCTCTTTATGGAAGTCCGTTTGGAACTTCCCCTATCTTTACTTCTCCCAACCAGAAGGTATAAAAATCACTTGCTCCTCATAAGCCCAGAGCAGCAAGGAGCAAGAGCAACAGCAGCCACAGCTCCTTCCACCCACAGGGCCTGTCCCAGGGCTTTAATAAAACCACCACTTTGCACCAAAGACACCTAAAGAATTGTTTCCTGGCCGTGGCTCTAGACCCCGACATTTCCACATCAGTATCCAGTGTCTCAATATTTCCTGTTTTATTTTTAACATTTAAATATTCTTTATGAGAGAGTGGTTGTTCCTACCAGGAAAAAAGGTTTTGACCTCTTCAAGCCTTTTAGAAGATGTAAATTTATATGAAGGCAAACGTTTCCAAGAGCTATCTTCACTCTTCTTCATGAACTGGTCAAAAATGAGTCTCATGTCCTTGCTCCAGCTGGGGTTGGGGAGAGAATGGTCCACATGAACAACCTCTGATGAATATGACCTCTAGAAGAAAGAGAAGAGAAAAAGAAGAATGGGACGTGAACCCTATCTTGTAACATATTTTTCTTTTTTCCTGAGACTATCTTGCTGCCTCTGCCTCTCCTCTTTCCAGAAGGTGGTCATTTCAGAGTAGAAGCAAATTTTAAAAATCAGCCAGACCAACCTCCTTGAGAGGAGAGATTGAGATTTGCTCAGTGTCACCGAACTAGCTTATAACAGAGCAGCATTTAGCTCAGGTCTGTGGATTCCCTTGACAAAACACAACACCTTAATCAAGCACAAGGTAAACCAGGAACTGGAAGTAAACAGATGAATGTAAAAGAGTTACTAATGGGGTATGCAGGACCCAGAGCACAGGGAGAGGTATTTAGCTCAGATGTTGTTGTGGAGGGCGGGAGGGGGGCAGTGGTTGTGGTTCAGGAAGGAATTTTTTTACCTGAATCTTGATTTGATGTAGGAAGATGTTAGGCTTCGAAGTCAATGGTCATGAAAGAATTCTTGAGCTGTCTCTGGTGCAAAAAGGTGGTTTTAATAAAGCACGAGGACAGGACCCATGGGTAGAAAGAGCTGTACTGGGATTGTGATGGGTGACTTGATTATATGCCTTCAAGTTGGGAGGGGTTAGGGATATACCATAAATTGTAAGGAATTTTGGAAGCAAAGTTTCCAGGACCTTGAGGGGGCTGACTGTTGTTGGAAAGAGGTCATTTATTACTGTCAAATAAAACCTAAGTCAGGAGACCCTTCAGATGTAGATCAGTGGGCAGTGTGCTTAGAAGATGATTGCTAACACGTATCTTGGGGGTGGGGAGTAGAGATAATGGAAGTTTCCAAGGGAATTTTTGTGTGTTTAAGTAGACCTTACAGGATCCTGGGGGTTGGGCTTAGATTAAAATTGCCTTTTGCTCTTAGCAAAGTATTAACATAAAGGCAGCTGAGTTCCTAGAGGAAATGTCACTCTGCCTGTTTCAAGGACTTGTTAATGGGGTATAGTAAGGAAACTTAATAATTTTTCTTCTACCTTCATTCACCACATCAATTAGCAGAAATTAGCTAGCTAGAAAGGGTACTGTAGGCAAGGGGAAACTACACGCAAAAGCAAGGAGGTAGAACATAGTTTTATGGGGCCTCAGGACAACCACACTTACCAAATACTTATTTAGTAGGTACTAATTTATCATCCCCATTTTACAGATGATGAAACTAAGGCCTAAAGAAGTTTGGCTTTGTTTCAGTGCAAGGGGAAGAGCAGATGGCTGCAGAAATGCAGACAAGGGCATGGCTGTGAGAAACTTCCATACTATGCTAGTTGGCGTGAACTGGTCTGTAACCACAGTTGTTCCCAGAGGGAGTTTCATAGGGAAATAACAAGATCTCATCTGGCCATCATATGAAAGATAATGAGAGGGACCAAGAGTGGATCTGGGGACTCCTGTGTTAAGGCTTTTAGAGATAACTTACCCAAGTGAAAAATTATGACCGCATTAAGCAGATAATGAGTAAGGGAAGAGTAAAAAGACAATACCACCTCCAGGTTTCTGACCTATGCAACACAGTGAGTGACAGAGCCAATTACCAAGAAACAGAATAAAAAGAGGGGGCAGAGGTTGGGCGGACAGGTGCTTGCTGTCATAGTAACCATGGCTTCCACCCATGCTATTTCTCTGCAGCACTGCGCCATGCTACCACTCCTGTGCCCAGGCAGCAAGTGAAATGGTGCAGAGGTCCCAGGTCCTAGAGGGGGAGAAAAGGTGACTTATTAAGCAGCAGGACAAAGCAAATGGCCATAGGTACTGGAAAGGAAAACTGTTTTTGGTTTTTGGGGTCGTTTTTTGTTTTTGTTTTTTTTTTTGCTTCAGCAGAAATCTTGGAATGTTTAAGATCACAGAAGCTATCAAGTCTATGGCATTCCACTTCGTCACCCTTTTCAGTTTAGATTCAATGTATCTGTAATACTTGGACCACACCTGAAACCAAAACAGTAAGGCTGAGCCATGATGGAAGAACCAGTCAACTAGCCTTCACTAACACATGATACAGGACACCTCCACTGGCTCTTATCTAGCTGGCTCTGATCCTGGCCTGATGGTTGAGAATACAGGCAGCCTGTCTCAAAAACCCTACAGATTAAAAACTCTTTGGCTGAGGAGAAGGAAGTAACAATTTCATGAGGGTAACGTGAGTAGGGTTAAGACTACTCCACCCTAGCCCAGGATCTGTACCTGTTTTTTTCCTATGGCTTTGAATTTGCTCATCTCTTTAGAACCTAGTTCAGAAAATTTGGTGAAGAAAAGAAAGAGCAATTTACAGGTGCGCGGGTGGCTCGGTCAGTTAAGTGTCTGCCCTTGGCTCAAGTCATGATCCCAGGATCCCAGGATCCCAGGATTGGGCCTGAATCAGGCTCCAGGGAGCCTGGTTCTCCCTCTGCCCTTCCCCCCACTCATGCTCACGGACATGCATGCTCTCTCTCAAAAATAAAGCAGTTTTAGAGGGAGAGAGAGGCCCCGTATGGGAGAGCACAAGCTGTAGGAGAAGCAAGCCGCTCATCTAGCAGATAGTCCAATGTGGGGCTTGATCCCAGGACCTAGGGATCATGACCTGAACCAAAGGCAGCCACCTAGGAGCCCCCAAAATAAAACAATTTTTAAAATCCACCATTATTTCTCCATCTCAAGACAATGATAGATGTTGGGGCATCTGCTTTCGGCTGGGGTCATAATCCGAGTCTTGGGATTGGGCATCCTGCTCAGAAGAAAAGCCTACTTCTCCCTCTCCAACATCCCCCCACCCCACTTTCGTTCTCTCTCTGTCTCTACCAAATAAATAAAATCTAAAAAAAAAAAAAAAAAAAGACGATAAATGTTTATGTCTTTCTACCAACTTTTCTTAAATGTGATCTTTCTCTTATTTATTTATTTATGAGAGAGCAGGGGAGCTTGAGGGTGGGGGAGGAGCAGATGGGGAGGAAGAGGGAGAATCTCAAGCAGATTATCCACTGAAATGAGCATGGAGTCTGACACAGGGCTCAATCTCAGGACCCTGAGATCCTGACCTGAGCAGAAATTAAGAGTTGGATGTTTAACCAACTGAGTCACCCAGGTGCCCTTCAATGCAACCTTTTAAAAAAAAAAAAAAAAAAAAAAATTTATTTATTTATTTGACAGAGATCACAAGTAGGCAGAGAGGCAGGCAGAGAGAGGGAGGGGGAAGCAGGCTCCCTACTGAGCAGAGAGCCTGATATGAGGCTCTATCTCACCACCCTGGGATCATCACCTGAGCTGAAGGCAGAGGCTTTAACCCACTGAGCCACCCAGGCGCCCCAAATGTAACCTTTCTTGATATACTCGTAATTTCAGTAAGAAATGTATTTTTCCTTTCTGTCTCACCACTTAAAATTATGTAGTACCCACTTTTTCATGTCCTTAATCTCAATTATCACCATTTTCAACAGCAGAAAAATAGTCCTTTAGGCTCCTGTACTATAATTTACTAAATCATTTAAGTTAGGCATTTAAAGCGTTTCTAATCTTTTGCAGCTTTAAGTAAGAATATTCACTGGAAAATTTTGAATATAGCTTTTTCTCTGCTTTGGATTATTTCCTTAGAATCCAGTCTCAATCACATGGCTTTTAAAGTACATGAATTCTGGAAATAAACTGATATAAGCAGTCACAGATAAATACGCACTGAGCAATACACGTCAGCTGAGAGGTAGAAAAGAATGTAGGATCTGGCTCATCTACAGGTCTCAACATGCGACTCTACCAGAGCTAGGGTGGCTCAGTCCTTAGGTATCTGCCTTTGGCTCAGGTCCTGACTGAGCCCCCACATCCGGTTCCCTGCTGGGTGCAGAGACTGCTTCTCCCTCTCCCACTTACACTGCCTGTCCGTGCTCTCTCACTGTCTGTCAAACAAATAAATAGTATCTTAAACAGGCAACTCTAGGATGGACCAGTTCCAGCGTCTTTTTATGGACCAGGATGAGAGAGATAATTGAAGACTTTTAGGAACTAGAATGACCCCTTGGCTGTGGGCTGTCTTACCGGATTTTAACTTTGAAGTGTGGGATTCAACTAAATGCAGTGAACTTTTAAAAATCTGCTATATGCCTTGTTTGGTGCTAGGAACTGGTTGAGACAGAGCGGGAAAAGAGGACATGGGCCCTGCCCTCAAGTGGTGGCAGCCTCAGGTGTGAATAATACTGTTAACAGGAGTACATTATAGACACAGGAGTGACCAGGATGAGGACTGATGGAGTGGTTTCTAAAGTGTAAGAAGTGCACTAAGGACAGAATGGGAGAGCTATACCAAGCAAAGGCACAGAGAGATGACACAACTGTTTGACACCTTGGGGAACTGCCAGGATTTCAGTCCTCATGATGTAAGGTGCAATGAGAATAGCAGCCAGATGTGGATGGCAAAGTAGAAGGGGAACACTCACCACCGAGCCTCTTTGGCCTTAACACAGGGTTTAGATTTCATCGGCTAGGTCAATGTTTCCAAATGTCAAAATGAAAGCTGATTTTAGGTAGCACAAGTACTACAGCATATGTATTTTTAGAATGCCTATTATCAAAGGACATAAATAACATGTCATATTTGGCAATCTCACAAATGTTATTTCTTAGGATGAAGTTCATTAAAGAAAGGTAGTCTTTAAAAAACCATGAAGGTGGTATTGGAATGATAAAATACTTTTTTCCACTATGGGGAGCTTTAAGCAAAGCAGTAACATGAACTTAGGTTTTAGAAACCACTCTCTGGTGTAAAAGATAAATTGCTAGGTGAGAAAAATGGCAGGGAAAGCTGTTAAAACTGTTGCAAAGATCTAGATGAGATATGGTTAGAAGCCAAACTAGATAGAGACAAATGAAGGGGAAAAAAAGATTAAGAGACTTTTAAGATACTGGGACCAAGGGATGTGGAGAGAGACTGATCATGGGGAAAAAGTAGTAGGAGAGCCTTGGATGATTCCAGAATTGCAGCTTTGCAGATTGGGGTGGAAAGAAAGGAGATTTTTGTTAGTCTGTGTGTGTGTTAGGAGGGGGGAGAGGAGAAGTAATCTATTAATTTTACAGGCATGTAGAGTGTAGGACCTCAGATGAACACTGTGATGTTGTGAGAAATAAAAAGTTTCAGTTCAACAGGGTAGGAATGAAGAGATACTTGATGTAAAGGCACTTGCAAATTCCCAGCACAGACTGTGTACGTGAGGGATAAATGTTAGGGATAATCATTACCTTTTGTAGCTCTCTGTAGAGGAAAAGTCTTTAGTTATATGTTTTTTAAGGGGGACTTGTTAACTGAAGTTATGACTTCTTTTTAATGTGTTTCCTTTTAAGATTAAGTTACTGAACAGGGAAAAAAAAAAGACTTACAAAGCCTCTAAATACTATTGTTAAATATTCTCAACACAGATTACAAGGCACCAACATGTAATTAAAGTAATTTATCTTTGCTGTGAAAACAGCACAGGCTATTTTCTTTCCGAGGTGAAAGATGGTATAGGATTAATAACCAGTCTGCACACATTATTCTTTAAAAGAAAGGTCCGACACCTTGCAGTTCTTGCTCAGTACAGAACTGTTCCTTCCAAGTTCCCTTAGTACTTCATTATTACAGCCGTTCACCCTTTTCTCCCAAACTAGACTGTGAGCTCCTTGAGAGAAATCGTTTTCTTATTCTTTATATAATGAAGACCAATATCTTACATGTTGTAGGGGTTCGATTAGTAATAATTGAATACTGGGGTGCCTGGGTGGCTCAGTGTGTTGGGCCTCTGCCTTCGGCTCAGGTCATGGTCCCGGGGTCCTGGGATTGAGCCCGGCATCAGGCTCTCTGCTCTCAGCAGGGAGCCTGCTTCCCCCTCTCCCTCTGCCTGCCTCTGCCTACTTGTGATCTCTCCCCCTCTCTGTCAGATGAATAAATAAAATCTTTTAAAAAAATTAAGAACTGAATACTTCAGTGAAGCAAAACATAGGGAAGAAAGAACAAGCATTATTTAGTACAGGCAATGCATTAAACGTTGCCTCATTTTCCTCTTACAACAGCCTTTAAAGTTGAGAAAGTGGCTTATGGGACAATTATCCGCTGGGCAGAGATGATCAGGATGAAACTCTCCAAGGGACACCGCTCTTCTGGCGAGCACATACTGTAATGGTCAGGAACAGTACTGCCTAGGTCAGACCCCAACTTCACTACGGGCCTCTGTCTGACCTTGCCCAAACCAGACCACCCCCCCCTTTTTTTAAGATCTTTTATTTTTATTTTTTTTTTTTTTTAGATTTTATTTATTTATTTGACAGATAGAGATCACAAGTAGGCAGAGAGGCAGGCAGAGAGAGAGAGAGGAGGAAGCAGGCTCTCCGCCGAGCAGAGAGCCCGATGCGGGGCTCGATCCCAGCACCCTGGGATCATGGCCTGAGCCGAAAGCAGAGGCTTTAACCCACTGAGCCACCCAGGTGCCCCTAAGATCTTTTATTTATTGGACAGAGATCACAAGGAGGCAAAGAGGCAGGCAGGGGGACTGGGGGGGGGGAACAGGCTCCCCACTGAGCAGAGAGCCTGACGCGGGACTCGATCCCATGACCCTAAGATCATGATCTGAGCCAAATGCAGAGGCTTTAACCCACTGAGCCACCCAGGCGCCCCCACGACCGCTTCTTTACCGGTCTCAGCCGCAGCCATCCTCCCCGACCTGCAGACCAGAGTCCAACATCCCGGAGGCTGCCTAACGCCGGTGTCCCCTTCCTGTTCCTCTCGGCCTTTGGCTCTCAGGGCTGAAAGCGACCCCGCTAACAACGACGTCTGGCACTGACGTTAGCTTTTACCCCGCGGTCAGCGGATCAACAGGTCAGCGCTGCGGTCCTCACCCGCTCCCCCTAGACACAGGGTGTCCTGGCGCGGCCTCCCGCTCCCGACGCCCCGCCCCCGGACTCACAGGCAGCGCCCACGAGTCCCCCGCCGGCGGGGACGCGCCTCCCAGCGGGCCGCAGAGGACTCCCGGTGTCCGCAGTAGGTAGACGTAGCTCCGCAGCATCGCTCGGACGGCGCGCAGGGCTTCGACACAAGCGGTCCAACGGTCGCGGGCTCCCCGACTCTTCCCATTCTCCGAGGGAACACGTGACCAAGGGGGCGCGGCTTGAGGCGGGCGGGGCGGTGACCTTTGGTGTAGTCAAACTTGGCGCTCGCCAGATCCCGGCCAACTACTGTTAAACCACCCGGCTGGAAAGCTAGGGGAACGAGGCCCCTGAAGCGGGGGCGGGGCCAGGAGGGTCAGCCCACAGCCGGGCAGCTCCAGCCTGCCTTCGTCCCCACCCCCCTGTCCGACCCCTCCCGCCGGGCGCTGGGATCTCTGGGCTTGTTACCCGGAAGTCCCTCCGGCGGAAGACAGAAGGGCCCCCGGCGGGTGGGAGCGGACACACCGAGCGGTAGCGATGAGGTCTTTGTAGGACACACGTTCCCTAGGATCAGACTGGTATTGATTTGTAGAGAGCCTTCCAACTACTGAGTGCATTTATACGTGTAAAATGCTCCTTTTCAGCCGCCTCCGCTGCCCAGGGTCTCCCGCCCCCTTAAAGCCCCAGGCAGAGCTAAAAGTCCTAAGTTTTGCTTTTTTGAAAAACAAAGAACTCTTAAGAACTCTTGAAGGACGTGTTCATCTGTAGCCTTGGAGACAGGCCTGAGCTCAAACTCCTCTCCACGCCTGGCCTCTGTTTCTTCATCTGTTTGTGGAGAATACTAAAGGTGCACAAAAGGATGTTCTCTTTCAGTGGGAGTCACGAAGTTAGAAGTCACCTGAAGTTACCAGAAGTCACCTGGTACTTCCCTCAGGAAACTGCCCCAGGTGCCCCTGGGTGACTCAGTCCTTTAAGTCTTCCTGCCGTGGAGGTCAGGAGGGTCCTGGCATCCAGCCCTGCCCCTGGGGTTCCCTGCTCAAGGGGGCCTACTTCTCCCTCGGCCCTCCGGCCTGCTTGTGCTCTCCCGTGCTCGCTCGCTCTCTTCCTCAAATAAATAAAATCTTAGATTTAAGAAAAAAAAGAAAGAAAGGAAAGAAAGGAAAAGGGAAAGGAAAGTTGAGGAACTGTCCCAGGCCGGTGGTGCGCTGGAGCTGGCTCCTCCTATAAGCTCCTGGGAGCAGATTTAAAAATTCAGAATTTGGGGGTTCCTGGGCCGCTGAGTGGGATGGGTGTCTGCCTTGGGGGGATCCTCCTCCCAGGGTCCTCTGATGGAACCCAGTGTGGGGCTCCCTGCTCAGTGGAGAGCCTGCTTCTCCCTCTCCCTCTGCTTCTCTCCCCAGCTTATGCTGTCTCACTTTCTTTAAATCTCAAAAATTTTAAAAATTCAGAATTTGGCTAGCCAATCCTTAAATACTGCTATTATTGAAATTTAAATTATGTCATGGGGCGGGAGTGGCTCATTTGCTTAAGCACCTGCCTTCAGCTCAGGTCAAACTCTCAGGGTTCTACCTGCTCAGCCAGGAGTCTGCTTCTCCCTCCGCCTTTGCCCCTCCCCGATGCTTGTGCATTCTCTGTCTCAAATCTTTTAAAAAACTTATGTCAACTTACAATTGAATAAGTTATATTAAAAATGAAGGTGTTTGGGGCGCGTGGGTGGCTCAGGTCATGATCTTAGTGTCCTGAAGTGGAGCCGTGCCACCAGGCTCCTTGCTCAGCGGAGAGCCTGCTTCCCACTCTTCTCTCTGCCTGCCTCTCTGCCTACTTGTGATCTTTGTCTGTCAAATAAATAAATAAATTCTTAAAAAAAAATAACGAAGGTGTTTGATAGTAGTCTGTAACTTCCTAATTACTGTTGGGGCCCCCCAAAATGGGTACCCCAATAATGGGTCCATGATTAAAGGAGCGAGACTGATACAAAGCAAAAGTCAAGCAAAGCTTTATTTCGCGCCAAGCATCAGGAATCAAGCCGACCGTCCAACACACCGGTCGGGGCGCCCCTTACAGAGAGGACAACCCCTCCCTGCTTTCCAGACTAACTTTTATAGAGCAAAGCCCGTGTGGTGGGCCTGGCCACACACAGGTGGCCAATGAAATTGTAACACACAGAGAAAGCTGCACAGTCATGCTAGGTCACACATAAGTGACCAATTGAATTACAATTTACCCTATAGTAGACACTTGAACCAGCCTATCACCTTGGTCAGAATAGGCGCCCAAAAGGTGCCCAAAGGGCGGGGCCCATACTCCTTGGTAACTAGGGAGACAGTATGCATCCCCCCCACTGATCGGATATCTCCATCTGGCCTGACCCACCCTTGTATTTGGGCTTTGTTACCCGGCTGGTTTCCGGGACTTGTTTTTGAGTAAGTCCCTTGGGGGAAGGGGGGCAGGGACAGTTTAAGGGTTAAACAACAAGGTTATTGTTTAACCTGGATGGAAGCCTCTGGCTAAATAGGTCCTTACACTACTTGTGCTCTTGGGGTTATTTACCTCTATCCTATTTGTGTGGTGGGAAAAGTAGGCATATATTTTCCCAACATCCACTTTCAGTCACATGGTGGCTTGAAATTCACTTCATGGGAGTATTCACTCAGATATTGCAAATGAGGGCCTTCTCTCCCCTTTTTATTAAACATTTAGGAATAATATGCCATTAGTCCATTTAAGAATTGAAGTCTTAATACACTAAGGGTTACTAGCATAATAGGTTATTAAAATTGCTTACACTCAGCACATCATTCATTACATATCTTCCCAACAACACACCTCTGTCACCACTCACATAGCTAAAAGGTGGAACTGGAGGGACCATTATGAGGAAAGAGTCATCAGAGGTAAGAAAACTTTGCTTTGGGCTTGATGTTAAGTTCAGAGAGCCCCCTTCTACTTTTTTTTGTGTGTGTGTGAGAAATTAGTATCTGTGAAACTAATTTCCAATTATTCCAGCATCCTTTATCAAAAGTCTCTCTTTTCTCTGTTCAGGTGTCTTTGCACCTGGATCAAAAACTGATTATTCATAGATGTTTGGGTCTATTGCTAGACTCCGTATTCTGTACGTTAAGCTAGTTATCTTTCTTGATGCTAATCCCATACTATCTTTATTCCTGTGGCTTGAAATTATTTTCAATTTTGTTTTTCTTTTTCAAAGTTGTTTTGGCTATCCTAGATATTTTGACTTTCCATAGAAACTTTAGAATCAGCTTGTCAATATCTACAAAAAAAACCTGCTGGGATTTTGAATTGACATCTCAGCAAATGGAGTCTCCTCATGAAAGTTGTTTTTCATTGATAAGTCTTATGAACAAGTTATATCTTCCCATGTATTTAAATCAATGTAATGTCTCTCAACAATATTTTGTAATATAGATCTTGTACATATTTTGTCACACAGACATACTTGTTTTTGTATGATTCTCTTTATTGCGCTTTGCAGATACTGTGTTTTTACAGATTGAAGATTTGTGGTCACCCTATGTGGAGCAAGTCTGTTGGTGCCATTTTTCCAACAGTATTTGCTCACTTCATGTCTCTGTGTCACATTTTGGTATTTCTTCAATATTTCAAACTTTTTCATTATTATTATATTTGTTATGGTGATCTATAATCAGTGATTATGACTCTGAGCGCTCAGATGATGGTTAGCCTTGTTCAGCAATACAGTATTTTTAACTTATGTATCTTGCTTTTTTAGATATAATGTTATCGCACATTTAATAGACTACAGTGTAGTGTAAACCTAACTTTTATATGCACTGGGATACAAAAAAAAAAAAAAGCATTTGACTTGCTTTATTTTGATATTTGCTTTATTGTGGTGGTTTAGAACCCAACCTACAATATCCTGAGGTATGCCTGAATTTATCTTTAAGTATTTCGAATGTGTGGTGTTATTATAAATAATATTTTTTATTCCAATCCCTGATTGTTTACTGCTAATATATGGAAATACAATTACTTTTTAAGGGTGCCTGGGTGGCTCAGTTAGTTGAGCAACTGACTTGATTTCAGGTCATGACCTCAGGGTCTTGGGATCAGGCCCAGTACAGAGCTCTGCACTCAGCCCGGAGTGTCCTTCTCTGTCTTCCTCTCCCTCTACCCCTTCCCCCAGTCTCTCTCTCTCTCTCTCTCATAAATAAATAAATCTTTAAAACAAAAGAAATACAATTACTTTTTATATATTGATCTTATATTTACAAACTTGCTAAAGTCATTGGTTGGTTCTAGTAATTTCTTAATAGATTCCTTACATTTTCTACCTAGATGATGATATTTCTGAATACTTTTACTTCTTTCTTTACTATCCATACAGCTTTTATTTCTTCTTCTTTTTTAAGAGTTTATTTATTTATTTGACAGAGAGAGACAGCGAGAGAGGGAACACAAGCAGGGGAAGAGAGAGTAGCAGGGTTCCCGTGGAGCAGGGAGCCCAAGGCAGGGCTCAATCCCAGGACTGGGATCATGACCCAAGCCGAAGGCAGACGCTTGACAACTGAGCCACCCAGCCACCCCTATACAGCTTAAATTTCTTATTTTGGCCTTACTGCACTGACTAGAATCTCAGTACAATATTAAATAGTAGTAATGAAAGCAGACATCCTTGTCTTATTGTTGATCTTAGAGGGAAAGTATTCAGTCTTTCACTTTTAAGTATGATCTTAACTGGAGGGTTTTGTAGATTCTCTTTTAACAGGTGGAGAAGTCCCTCCTATTTCTAGTTTACTAAGAGTTTCTGTTAATGGGTGTTGGATTTAATCAAATGCTTTTTCTACATATTGAGATGATCAGCTTGTTTTTAAAAAAAATTTGTTTCATATCAGGGTGCCTGGGTTGTGCGGTTGATTGAGCCTCCAACTCTTGGTTTCAGCTTGGGTAGTGCTCTTTGGGTCATGGGACTGGGGTCCACTTTGGGCTGTGCTCTCAGTGCAGAGTCTGCTTGAGTTTCTCCCTCTCTCTCTGCCCCTACCCCCTTCGCCTCACATGTGCTCTCTCTCAAATAAATAAATAAATCTCTTAAAAAAATAAGTAAAATAAAATTTGTGTCATATCATGAATTACGCTGATTTTTTTCTCTGCCCCGACC